CAATTATTCTTTCATCCCGAAGCTCTCTTTGTATCCCAAAACCTGTCCACGGGGCTGGAAACACTTTGAAACTAGTTTTCAGGCAAAGCAAAAGGCTGCTGGGGGGAAAAGAAGATGAGAAAATCCTACTGTGACTACCAGCATGATACTAGATATAGGCTATTATCTATACAGTATTATGTGTGTGTGTGTTTACAATCCCCTGAAAGTAAAAATGTGAGCAACAGGTAATCATTTTCTCCTACTTTCCCATAACTTGTTGAACAAACAGGAACAGCTCCTTTTTGTTTGCCTAAGAGCACTGCCTGGCCACAGCTTGTTCTCTCTGACATCAGTGGAAGTTCCCTGGCAGTGGAATCCTTGCATGTGCTGCCCGATCTGCGGTGAAGTTGCCACTGCCAGAGTTCTCATAGTTGAAAGGTTTCCCAACAACTCCTGCTACACATGGTCACCAGGTCACAGCATTCTTCCCTCCCCTTTTGTTTTGTTTTTTTTCATACATACCTCCTGCATGCTATTGGTTAGAACATTTCCCACTGCTGTGTATTGGTCTGCAGTAGTAGTTGCTCATTTTATGTTACTATATAAACACCACACAGGCGCCTCTGTAAACCTCCTATGACTGAGTTAGCAGACTTTAGCAAAAAAACCCCACTTGCAATTCGTTCACTGTCTGCTGCAAAAACAACTTAAATTCTATTCAATTTTTTTCTACATTAAATGTTTGTTTTCTTTAGCTTGGTTTCACTTTATAATGAAAGCCTGTAGGATGTAAGGCGAGCAGAAAACTATAGTACCGATGTCACAGCTGGATCATGGATGAATCACTGGGTGGATTTTACCTCATGGGTAGTTTTGTTAACTCTTCCATTGATGCAACAAAACTTGGTCACCAAGTATTGTTATTTTTAGGAGAGTTGTCTTTTTTTTAATCTGAAGGTCGCTTCATGCATTTTAAAAACTAAAGAAGCTCCAGGACCAAAAAAAGATCAAATAAGATCTGTTTTCTGACTGAAATGTCATGCTAGGGAGAGCTGTACCTAGTGAAATTCTGCCTGCTATACAGCATTTAACTGTACAGAATCTTCATTAGGTTGTGCCCTCTTATACTTAACTCTACAGACCTGCATCCCTTTGTTCTGACAGGACAATAGGTTAGCTTGCTGGTAACAGTATCATTTCATTTTTGGCACCACAAAATCAGATTATTATAATCTTGCAAACATACCTCAGGCTCTAGAATAATTTCAAATTGTAATAGCCTCATCCCAAAAAAGCCAGAAACAAATGTTGGCTTTATTACATAATGAGAAAAGTAATGAACTTTTCCTTTCCAGTATGATTTTCTTATTGTGCCATCTTATAAAATCTACTCAAAAGTAAACCTCATTGTATTCATTTAGACATACTCTCAGGGAGATGAATACAGGACAGCGATCTCATTCTGCAATCTCCAAAATATTACAGTTAATCATCAATCACACGAGAGGGATTCTACCAACATAATGGAAAGTCATCCTGTTTCTTTCTAAATTGGTTCTCCACCTAATCTTTCTGTCTGCTGAAAGATGTAAGTAAGTAATGGTAGGATAAACAGAGATGATATAAATGAAGTCATTGAAGAAGAACAGGGGTTTAATTTAATCAGGACTCATCTAAGAATGTTATTAAATTGTGGAGAGTATTGCACCCATAGGGTGCTTTGCAGTTGGTTGTCCTTCTATTAATTGAAGACATTTGTCAGTAAAGTAGGAAGAGTCATTTTTATG